GGTCAAGAGTTCGAGACCATCCTGGCCAACGTGGTGAAACCCCATCTCTACTCGAAATACAAAAATTAGCAGGGTGTGTTAGCATGTGCCTATAGTCCCAGCTACTTGAGAGGCTGAGGCAGGAGAATCGCTTGAACCCAGGAGACAGGTTACAGTGAGCTGAGATTGTGCCACTGCACTTCAGTCTGGGCAAGAGTGTGAGACTCTGTCTCAAAAAAACCAACAACAAAAAAACAAACAAGGGCCAGGTGCCGTGGCTCACGCCTGTAATCCCAGCACTTTGCGGCACTACCAACATGGAGAAACACCATCTCTACCAAAAGTACAAAATTAGCCAGGCATGGTGGTCCATGCGTGTAATCCCATCTACTCGGGGCAGGGGCTGAGGCAGGAGAATTGCTTAAACCCAGGAGGCAGAGGTTGCGGTGAGCCAAGATTGCAAGATTGCACTCCAGCCTGGGCAACAAGAGCAAAACTCTCTCTCAAAATAAGAAGAATACATGGACACAAAGAGGGGGAAAGCAGACACTAAGGCCTAGTTGAGGTTGACAAGACAAAGATGATTTAAAAATACCTATTTGGGCCAGGCACAGTGGCTCATGCCTATAATCCCAGCATTTTGGGAGGCCGAGGCAGGTAAGATTACCGGAACAGAGGTCAGGAGTTCAAGACTAGCCTGGCCAACATAGTGAAATCCCAACTCTACTAGAAATATAAAAATTAGTCAAGTATAGTGGCAGGTGCCTGTAATTTTGGCTACATAGAAGCCTGAGGCAGGACAATAACTTGAACTCGGAAGGTACAGGCTGCAGTGAGCCGCTGCAGTGAGCCACGGCAGTGCTGTTGCATCCAGCCTGGACAACAAGAGCAAAACTTCATCTCAAAAAAAAAAAAAAAAAAAAAAAAAAAAAAAAAAAAAAAAAAAAAAAAAAAAAAAAAAAAAAAAAATTAAATTTAATTAAAGAAAAAAAATAACCTGTTTGGTGCTATGCTTAGTACCTCGGTGAAAAAATAATCTACACCAAATTTAATGACACAATTTAACCTATGTAAATGTAATAAACCTGTATATGTACCTCTGAACTAAAAAAGTTAAAAGGAGAAAACTCAATGGGTAAGTGCAATATGTAGGCTGGAAGACTGGTTTGTGCTATTTATTTCTGGGTCCGTGCAGGCACGTGAGATTATGAACAAGTGGTCCAGAGCCCTGAGTTAGTGGAGAAAACAGGTTGCTGCTGCAGATTCAGCGTCTGGGGAATGGGGATACAACAGGAGACACGTAGACACTTTTGTAAGATTTTGGCAAGAAATGCTAGAATCAAAAATGCTGTGGTGAAGTTCCTGAAGGTGGTTCCTAGTCCTGGGAGGGGTGTGAATGCATCAGTGGAAAAAGGAGGTCTGTCACCAGAGTTCCTTTCCTCTAAGTTTTCAGTCCTCTCTCAGTCTAAGAGACCTGGAATCAGAAAACAATGGGCAGTGTGACAGCCAGTGTACAGGGGAGCAGAGCCTCCCATTCCCAGACACTGTTTTATTCCAGGCCAGCCCTCTATGGTACTTTTATCCTGGCACAAAATCTACGGAAATTTGCTGAACACCAAGCAACTCTCCCACACCAATTCTTTGTCTAACATTTAAATTCTAACACCATTCAGAGTCAGCACAGACCCTGATTCAAGGCTTGATATCGAAATACTGTTCTTACTACAGATGCCAGTAATAAACCCCATGGGTCCAGTTATACTTGCAAATTATGAGCTCATTATGAGCTACTTTATAAAAATTCCGAGGCCTGGCGCGGTGGCTCAAGCCTGTAATCCCAGCACTTTGGGAGGCCGAGGCGGGTGGATCACGAGGTCAAGAGATCGAGACCATCCTGGTCAACATGGTGAAACCCCGTCTCTACTAAAA